GAGGAAATAGCGGGGAAACCAGGAGCAGGAAAGAATGTATTCTGCCTGTCGTTTGGTGGGAGGGGGAGGCATGGGGGGTGTCCCTCACTCTCATATCCCCACCCAGAGCCAGAATGCCATCTTCCCACCCACCCATCACTCACTACTTGGGGGGCAAAGTTTAGCCAAGCTCAGCACAAAGATAAAATTGAGATGCAGATTCCTTCCCATTGCTCTGAATAGAGCAGATTGGATACGGATTTTCCCCTTTTCTTCCCATTTAGACCATCTGGGCCACTGGGGCCCAGGGGGAAGGTTGGGACCAGGTGGGGGAAGGGGACAGAGGCTCCAAAAGCCTGCCCAGCACTTCTCAGCTCTGGAACCTGGGGTGAGGGTGCGGATGCCTCCTCCACCCCATGTCCTTTCCCAGTAGCAAGTTCGTTCCTTCCCTGTCTTTGCTCTCTGCTCTCAGGTCTGGGCTGGGCCAGATGAGGCTGTGCTGGGTTCTCCTCTCCTTTGTCTATTTCCTAGAAAACTAAATGTTGTGTGTATTTGTCCCATCAGTGTTTAGTGGTGCTTCCTGAAGTCCCACCCACATCCCCTTAACTGCAATTAAAAGAAAAAAATGTGATCACAAAGGGCTTAATAAGATGAGCTCTTGAAGATCATTTGGTTCAAGCCTGTGTTTGACAGGTGAGAAAATGAGGCTGGGGAGGAGGACTGAGCAGGGAGCTGGTGGGGGAACTGCGACTGAGTGACACACAACAAAACGACAATAACACAACGTCCTCGTGTATCAGGCAGGGTTCTGCGCTCTGCATATCATGCCATTTAATCCTCACAATGACCTTGTGAGGCAAGTGCTGTCATCACCCCCATTTTATGGGTGGGGAAACTGAGGTACAGACCAGGCAAGTAACTTGCATCCGGTCAAAAGGGTAGAAGCCAGCTCGGACCCCAGGCAGACCTGCCCCATGCACGGTCCAAATGCACCTCGCAGGAGCATGGCATTATTGCACAGAGACTCGGGAGGGAGCACAGGCGTGGGAGCGTCTGGCCGGGACCAGCAGGCTGCTCCGGCAATCATTCGCAGATGGTGGAACTTCTGAAAGCACGGCCCACACCCGTCCAGTGTTTATAAGCACAGAGTCCAGACTTGTTCCTATGAACAGCGTAGGTCAACACAAGGTCAGAACCGAAAAGAACAATAGAAAGGGAATGTTCACATCACTTGGGAAAATGAGCAAGTGGAAACCTCACGAGGGTAACTTTGCAGGAGACGACACGCATGTGGACAGAGATGACCAAATGCATGAGGAAGAGAACCTTAGAGGGAGAAGCCGTGGGTTGGCGCCGGGTCGCTCACTGCCCCACAGGGGTAAAGCAGCGGCGGTAAGGTAGGCAGACAGCACGTTTGGGTGTGGCTGGCACAGATAAGTATTTCGAATGGTGGTGGTATGATGAAGAGTAGGAATTTTTTTCTGTTTTCCAAACATCCTATGATATTTGATTATTTTGCAATGAAAAAGAAAACAAAGGAGACTCGCCTACTTTAATTGCTGGAATTAATGCTAAGGATGTTGCCAAACATAAATCAAGCTTATCTAGTCATTAGAACAGCCTCCCTTTTCTCCTCCCCACAGGCAAGCTCTCTCTGTGGGAACAGTCTGCTATCAGATCCTCAGTTGCTATATAAAATGGAACTGCATTTAAAAACATCCCTACAGCTCCAAAACAGACGGCAAACCCAGCTGAGGCCCGGGCTTTCTTGGGGTTTCAGTGACAGGCTCACTTACTCAGCATAAACCTTTGTGTGAGGGCCTGTTTCCCCTCAGTCTCCTGAACATGGCTCCTCAACACTGGAGAGCTAGTTCTGCTGTTGGTCAAAGGGCTTCTAAGGGAAGGAAGGTGCTGTTGGCTGCAGGGCAGGGTGAATGTCCTTGATGCCACAGACCTGTACACTTAAAAAGGGTTAAAATGGGTCGGTGGGAACGTGACAGCCACTATGTGAAGCAGTATGGTGGTTCCAAAAAAGTTTTTAAATATGCCACCTTGGCCGGGTAGTTCAGTTGGTTACAGTGTCATCCCCGATGTGCCAAGGTTCTGGTTCAATCCCCGCTCAGGTCACGTACAAGAATCAACCAATGAATGCATGAATAAGTGGGACAACAAATCAACCTCCTTCCTTTCTCATTCTCTCTCTCTCTCTCCTTCTCTCTCTCTCTCCCCCTCCCTCCTTCCATCCCTTCCTCCCCCTTCCACTGTCTCTAAAATCAATAAATAAAAATTAAAAAAATAAAATTACTATATGACCCAGCGATTACCTCTAGGTATAGACCCAAAAGAATCCAAAACAGGGACTTTAAAGGAAACGTGCACCTCTGTGCTCACAGCAGCATGACTCACGACAGTCCAAAGAGGGAAGCAGCCCAAGTGTCCGCCCATGGAAGAATGGGTGCGCAAACTGTAGCCTATCCATACAGCGGAATATTACTCGACCTTAACAAGGAAGGAAAGCCTGACTTGTGCTACAACAAGGATGAGCCTTGAAGACATTATGCTGAGTAAATAAAGCTAGACACAAAAGGACAAGTATTGCATGATCCCACTCACCGGAGGGACTTAAAACAGTCAGATTCGTAGAGACAGAAAGTGGAACGGTGGCTGCCTGGAGCTGGGCAGGGAGCACGGAGAGTCGTTATTTAACGTGGACGGAGTTTCTGTCTGAGAAGATGCACAGAGCTCTGGAGATGGGTGACGGTGCCAGCTGCACAGCCATGTGAGTGTGCTCAACACTACCGAGTCTCACACTTAAAAATGGTTACGATGGAAATTTTATGTTCTGTGTATGCTATTAAGTTTTTTTAAAAGAGCTCCTAAAATCCACTGGGCTGTGCAGGACCAGAAGTTGTGTGGCTGACGCCCGTGGCGAGGGGACCTTTCCCACTCTTTCTGCAGAGTGGCACCCCCTGCCTGACCCACCCGTCCCCCAGGGCACGCTTACCCCGACCAGGGAGCGAACCGAGCCCGCCACCATATTCATGCCCTGCTGCTGCTGAAACAGTCTCCGCAGGCCGAGGGCCTTCGAACAGCACGTTTATTCTCTTACAGTTCCGCAGGCTGGAGAGACCACACGGGCCTCAGTGGGCTAAAATCAAAGTGTCGGCAGGACGGGAGGTTCTGGGGGAGGATTTATTTCCTTGCCTTCCCAGCTCGTAGAGGCGGCGCACCTTCCACCCCCAGGGCCGGCAACACTGCCTCTCTCTAACCGTTCTCGCACAGTCACATCCCCCTCTATCCCAGCCGAGAAAGGCTCTCTGCTTTTAGGCACCTGTGTGATTACACCGGACCCACCCAAATAACCCAGGATCATGACTGTCAAGGCTCTTAACTGAATCACACCGGCAACATCCCTTCTGCCACGTAAGGGAACATATTCGTGGGTTCCAGGGATGAGGAGGTGGACGTCTTTCGTGAGCCATCTTCCGCCTACCACACCCACGCTCCACACTCCCACCCACGTTCTCACGTGGGAACGTTTCTGGCATGAAGACTAATGTGAGCCTGAGTTTTGGAAGAAGGAAGCGCAGTAGCCAGTAGGTCAGGACCGCACCATCTCGGGGAGGAAAAAGGAAGCTATAGCTGAGAAGACGGGCAGGGAGCATGACGTGTGAGCTGGTGGTTGTGGGGAGAGGGGACCAGAGATGGGGTGACCACACGCACAGGGAAGGAAGGGAGCAGCGCGTCCCATGGGAAAGAGGGCGCTCACGACGCGGGGGCAGAGGGTGGGGAAGACCTCACAGGTGAGGCGCACTCGAACAAAGAAATTCATGAGCATTGGCACAAAAGTTTTACCAAAGGGCTCTTATTATTCACTTCCCAAAAGGACTTCCCTAAGTGTTGTTCAAGTAATGAGTTTCACTGTGTTCTTAAAATAGGATTTACACCCAATTTCTCAGCAACACGTAAAAGCAGGCTTGTAAATCTATTGAAACGAAGTGCGACCAGCAACATCTGCCGCCTTCTGTGCTGGTGGTGCCAGCGGGAGCGAGAAGGAGGCCCTGGTGGGGATGACGGCTCAGCCTGGAGCCTGCGCCCCAGGAAAGCCACCCGTTCGGTGCTCCCGACGACCTTTCCTCATTCACATGGGCACTCGGCACCCGCCGAGGCTGGAGAGGTGAGGGAAAGGAAACACCAGGTGGCGGCTGGCCCCAGGCCCTCTCTCCCCAGGGCTCCACTCCTTCTGCCTTTCCTTAGAGAGGAGAGATTTTTCAGGGTGGTGGGGACTGCGAGCCTGTGTGCATCCCAGAAGCTGTGCCCCTCCGACGTGCAGGCAGCACTCAGGGCTTACCTAGGGGTCATTTCTGGAATGATACCGAAACTTTCAATTAAGGACAAAGCCTGTCATTCTGTCGTTATCAGAAAAAAAAAAAAAGAATCCAAATGACCCAAAACAGGTAGAATTGCCATGGTATAAATAATTGATTTCATGTCTCTTTTGGGAGCCAGGGAGCACAGGGCTCCAGGAGGAATCAGGGTTTTGGCCTCATTTCCCTCCTTCTCTCGGCTACGGGGCCTGCTGGAAATCCTCCCTGGGACTCAGAACAGATAATATAAAGGAAGGCGCCATAACAATTTTGGACACGATGCATATTTCTCTGCCATTATGCTGCGAGGTTTTGTCCTAACCTCTCAGTTCACCCTGACTTTCATGTTTGGTTCCTTCTCCCAAATATGTGGTTCTCTAAGGATCAATTTGAAATTCCCTCTTCTCTCCCTCTGACTGCTCCTGGGGTGGTCTCAGCACCCACAAGGGTTTCCATCTCCACCCCAGCTCCCCAGATCCCCAGGCCCCTCTGGACCCCAGACTGCACGGCCATCTCCACCTCACTGTCACTGTCGCCCAGACCTGTCCTCCACAGGCTGCCCGGAACACGTGTCCTCCCTCTCCCTTAACCTGCCCCTCCCGCGTCCCCGTTTCCATCATCGGTGGGACTGCGATCCCCGGCACCCCGACTCACATGGCGGCATTCGCAGACTGCCCTCCGCCTCATCTCCAACCACTGTTGAGTCCTGGCGCTTGTACCGCTACCATGGATCCCAACCCAGAGGTCCTCAGGGCTGCGGTGACACAGGAGCTGAGTGTGCAGGGAGGGGCGGGAGGGTGGGAGGACGTGTACGCGTTTGGACTTGAGAGCTGTGACTCAGCTCTCCTCTTCACCTCCTCTGGATGTGGGCCCGGACCTGTCCATTTTTAAAGAAAGTGTATATATCTGATTTATGTGACATTCCCTTATTTTTAAACGCTGGCAATGACTTGCATTTTTTGAAATCCCTACTTATGCCAAACAAAACATGTCTGTTTGTGACCTCAGAGCTCAGCCTCCCTCCCTCTCCTGTTCCCAATGCCAGTGTGTCAGCACAGCCACGCTCCCTCCTGGACGAGAAACCCTCTGCCGCTCAGGGCCCCTCTGCTGCTCAGGGCTGCCTCCCCGTCTTCCCCTGCTGGTCTCAGTCCCCACTGAACCAGCGCCAGACTCTTCAGCTTCAGATCCCGGTCCTCCAGCGGGGGAGAGAACGGTGAGGGTGAAGGAGACAGAAGAGATGGCTGATGCCACTCAGGGTGACAAAGCTATTAATTAACAGAGTTAAACATCTGGTGTCTAATTAACACCCTCCCTAATCTCTCTTCCTCCGTCCTGTTTCCCTTTCCCAGCAGGGCTCCTTGGTGGGTGAAGCAGGAGCCGAAATGGGACTGGGGTTCCTGGCTGGAGGCAGGGAGGAGGAGGAGGAGAGGGGCAGTGAGGTCCTCAAGTGCCGAAAGGAAGAGAACGGGTTAGGAGGAAGCAGGTTCATGGTTCGGGAAGAAAGACCCAGACTCATCCAGAAGTTTCTTGGGCAGGAGCTTGTGCCTAGGATTGAACATGTAAATCCACAGCTCTCCTCACGGCAACACTGTTGATTGCCTCCCTGGAATTCATTCTCCCATTGGACTCAATGACACCCGCCCGGCTGCACAGAGTGGCCCAGGTGACGTGCTTTCCCGACCTCTCAGGCAGTTAGGGATGCTCATGTGCGTCGTTCTGGCCAATGAGGAGTGAACAGAAGCCTGCCGCAGACCCTAGGATGGTGCTGCTTTCCTTTTAAGAGAACAGACTCGGCTGGCACCCCTTCCTTCCTTTCTCCTCCCTGCCTCCCAGAGGAATGTGATGTCTGGAATGACAGCAGCCATTCTGACACTGTGAGACAAGAGGCATGTGCGTGCAGCCGAGAGGATAGCAGACTATCTTGCCCCTGTTGAGCCAGTGTGCAAAGATCTCAGCAGCCGCAACCGCCTCCAGACTCTTGTTAAGTGATTAAAGAAATCCCTATGTTTAGTTCTTGCAGGTGATGTTTTCTGTTACCTGCACCCTTAGTGATACACTCCTCTAAACCTTCTTCCCTCCAGGGAGGTAAGCTGACCACTCATTTAATTAGTGTCCAGTGGAGTCGAGAGCAGACACTGCTGCTCAGAGCACTTCCCAGCCCAGACTGCCCAGGGCCTGGAACTGGGGACTGGAAAGCAGACCACAGCGCGGGCTTGTCTGCATTAAATGGTGAGCCGTCTCCTCACTGCCTCCCCAGCGACAAGCACAGAGCCTGCCAAGTAGCGGGAACTCAGATGACACATGGTGTGTGAATGAATACATGAATGGGTGGATGAGCTACTGCTTGGCACAGGTGTCCCAGTGACAACCAGCTGGCAGGAAGGGACTCCTAACAGCTAGCTTGAATCGAGCTGATTCAAGACCCATGCTGGTGCAACGGGCAGTCTGTGACCCCTCTGCCTCCCAAAAGCACCCCACCCCGGGTCCCACCTGCCCTCTTATCTAGAATTGGATCAAACCTTCTTGTTTGCTACATATCTGCCTCCTTGTTTGGACTGAAAGCCCCTTAAGCAGATGCCACAGTCCTTTTTAATCCCCCAGAAGCCATCAGTGTCTCAAGCCCTGAAGGTAGTTGATAAATGCTTTCATTTGAGGTTGATGCTTTGGAGGGTGCTGAGAAGTTGATGAAATACAGGGTAGCTCAGAAAAGAGCCACCCCAAAAAGAAGAGTCCCCAGACATCTGCCCAAATTTTTACCATTAGACCTGGACCATTTTGACAAGACAGGCACCTTAAGGAATACACTTAACCACTTGGAGCAATAGTTTGTACAATGGGAATAATAATAATAAAACCCCTTTCATTGTGCCCTTGGGAGAATCAAATCAGCATGAAAGTACATTGTAAGAATGTTTATTAAAACAGGTCTTTAAATTAGTCTTGGAAGAATTATCCCATTAATTACTCACTTTTGAATGTGACCTGGCAGCTTAGGACGGAGAAGAACCTTAGACCTACCCTTCCCCACCACTTCACAAAGGACCTCTACACCATCTTCAGAAGTGTGTGAGGAGCTTCCTCAGCTGAATTAACGTGGCAAGCTGTTCTCGAGAAAGAGGAGAGGACCACGTGCGGGAGGCACAGCTGCAGCAGGTGTCCCGGTGCCCTGCCCAGACCCCCACGCCTGGGAGGAGCCCCCACTTCTCCTCCCACAGCAACCATCTCCAGAGACTGGCTCTGGGCCCCGGGCAGCCTCCTGACCCTCACCCTGGCCCACAGGCAGGTGCCGACCGAGGCAGGGGTGTACTTCACGCCCCCCTCTTGCCCTCTCAGGTGTCTCACATGGGCACTCCTGGTCGGGTCAGCCACTCTCACAGCAACCTCAGCTGGGGCTCTGCTTCTAGGGAATCTAAGACATGCCCTGAGGAGGCCTTTGCAGAGGACAGCTGACACGAAGCTGGGGTCAGAATTGGAGTGCACACCTCTCAGTTAGCCCGGGGCTCTGCCCCTCACCCTGGTGCAAAGTGCGAGGAGGTGGGGCAGGCCCAGCCCTCCACCCCTCCTGGGACGGAGCCTTGACCAGACCTGGTGCCTGCACCTCCCTCCTCGTGCTGTCCGGATCTCCTCAACACCCTGCCCTCTCTCCAAGGCCTCATGACATTTCCCTGGGAAGCTGGAAACCCAAAAATCAATCGGTCTCCTTGTCACAAGATTATTAGGATGGGTTCCTGGAACGTTTCAGTGCACAAACTCAGTGTTAGTACAGAAAGGGCCTTAGGAGGTAGTGTAAGTCCCCTTCACAGTTTAATTTGGATTCTACTTCTGCATCCACGCCCTCCCTGCTCATGGTAATTGTCATAATTATGGTCTGCTTTATCCTCCTCTAAATTGTTAAGACAGCTGGACAGAGTCGGAAATGCATGGATGCTAATCCCCCACCCCAGGCCCATTTTCAGGATTAGCCTCCCTAGAAGCAATGAATTTGAGTCAGAAGGAGCGTGGTCTTGGGGGCGACGGAGCAGCAGGGTGGGGTGGAAGCTGAAAGGGCCCGAGAGGCCCAGCCCCAGGTACTGTGTCCTAGACCGGCAGGGGAAGGAAGCTCTTTGCACATCGTGTGCCCCACCCCACCCCTCATACCAACACAATTGGAAATATTTCTTTATGAGAAAAAAATGGAGAAAACCGGTACATTTGGAACTTCCTGAGGTTAGACATGTGAGGTCATCCAGTCCATTCCCCCAGGTTCCAGGCAAGACAGCCCTTCCCCAGTGCAGGGCAGCTAGGTTTGGGGAGGGGATGAGGTCACTTCCTGTCCGCACCGCTTAGTGACCTTATCAGCGTCTGGTGCCCCTCACGGTGAGGACATTCTTGCATTGTTTCTGCTCCATGAAGCAACATTTATCAATGGCCCTAATAAATGCCACGGGTCCCAAGTACTGCACAGGACACTGTACCACTTTGAGGAGCTCCCCTTTTGAGAATTCCATGGTCTTCTGCTCATATATTAATACTCACCTCTGATCCCATTTGCCTCACCAATGACCCCCAACTCGCCGAATCCCAATACTAGGTCTTCCAGTGGAAATACATGGCTTCTGCTCCGGAATAATTACATCTAAGCTTTACTGTGTTGTTAATTGTATGACAGATAGTGTGTTAATTGTTTCACAAATGTTGATTCATTTTATCCTTACCAAATGCCCATAACATGGGTTTCATTGCCTGTGGACAGGTGAGAACACTGAGAGGCTGGGTTGCTTGCCCAGAGCCACACAGGAAGCAGCCCAGCCAAGGTCGAACCTCGGGTCTGTTCAGTGCCAAAGCCCAGGCCCTGGGCTAGCCTGCTCCCACCTCCACACAGGGCTGCTGCAGAGCCAGGTTCTCCCAGGAGGGAAGGCAGGGGCAGGGGGCTGGGGGCACCCAGCTGTGGGGTGTGTGGGGTGCACAGCAGGCGAGCTTCCCAGGTCTCCTCTTCACCCTGTCCCCAAGGCTGAGTCCAGCTCAGTTCCGCTCCCTCCTCTCAGCGCTTTCTTCCTACCTCAGTTCTGAGCCAAGTTCTAGATCCATTTTCTTTATCTCTCCTGGCTGGGAGTGCTTCGGCCATCAAGGCCTCAGATCAGGCTCTTCAAGGAAAACTCTCAGCTCCACCCCCACCCTGCTCCACAACCCCCCTCTCCCCAGCCGTCCTCCCTCTGCCTTCCTGCCTTCCAGGAGCCTGCCTGTATTTATATTTCTGGGCTGAGGGAGTCCTCCGTGCTCCACTGAGCTGCTTGCTGCTACGGGAGCTGGAGCCACTGGCCCCTTCTGTCCCCCCATGTTAGCCACCCCTTTCCTGTCACTGCCCGTCAGCTGGGCCAACGGCGGGGGTGGCAGAGAGCAACGAGGCAGATAATCCAAGGTAGTGGAAATGAAAAAATCATCTCTATTTGGCTGCAGAAGGTATTTTTGGACCTGCAGTTGAATGTGGGTGTGTGTGATGTGCTGGGAATTCACAACACTTCAAACCAAACCCTGAAGAGAAACCAGCAGGGCCTGACTGCTGGTGTTAAGACTTAGAAAACCACCTGCCCTGTTCCTCTTTCCCGCTAGGCTGGGGAGCTCAGAGTCTCACACTGGCTGAGCTGTGCCTCTGCAGAAATCAGTTCCATACAGTTCCCTGACCTAGAGCCCTGGCTGCAGACTCAGACGCTGGCAGGGGCCAGGCAGCCAAGCGAGGGCAGCTGGTGCACCGCAGAGGGAGTGGCAAAGTGCAGACCGTCACCGTTCAGAAGGGCACAACCA